TAAATAATAAAAAATATAGATATAATATTCGATCTGACTTTTTAAGTGAAAGTGAAGGATATATTTTAAAAATTATTTTAGAAAAAAGATTAAAAGTACATTTAGAACTTTTTATAAAAAATAATTCCAAAAAATAAAAAAGTTATAAAATATTTTTTAAATATCCAACCCTATCATTTGTTATTGTTAGAGAAAAATAAAATAATTAATGTAGCTTCAACTTAGTTTAAATTAATTTTGAGTTAAAATAATTCTTTACTTGGTAAGTGGTTTTGGGCTATGAAGCACCGACACTTCAAAAATTCTGACGTGTCGTGTCCGACACTTCTCGACTCTCTCCGACATTTCGACACTCCCCGACACTTCAACTCGCGTTATAGAAATTCAAAAGAAGGTTCAAAGGTTGTGTTGCGTTGAGTTTTTAGTTCCAACTATTAGATTCATTGGATTACAATTACCATTTGATTGAGTTTAATATAAATATTCATGATATCTTATGTTTCTTTGCAAAATTGATAAATATTATAAGTTTAGTTTCATTTTTTTGTTAAATTATTGAATATTAAATATAATATACACTACATAAATAAAAAATATTATTTAATATCAAAACGTGTCCTAACGTGTCGAAATCTAATATTTTTTAGAATTAACGTATCGGAGTATCGTGTCGTATCGTGTCACATGTCCCGTGTCAGTATCGGTGCTACATAGGTTATGGGTCCTTAGCACAATTAGGCAGTGTTAGTAAAATCGAACCGACCCGACTGAGTTGACACGAGAACCGATAAATCGGTCCGGTTGGAGCAACGAATCGGCCTTGCATCAAAACCGGTGCGACTCGGTCCAACCCGACTAGTTTTCATGAAAATCAATTACCCGGGCCAGTAGGTTAACCGGTGACCCGACCTGGTCCAAAAAAAAAATTCCAAAATTATTTTTTTTTTTATAAAAAAAAAATCATAATGGACTTTTTGAGTATTTTTTTGCTTATTGATTTACATAAGTTATGTACCTACAACATTAATATTATCTCAATTATGCACTTTGTAGAAAATTTTGATTTGATTTGATTTATAGTTAGGGATGTCATTTTCTGAACCTAAAGTCTCGTATCACGATTATTATATTTTTGTTTGATCCTTTATTGGATAATAATATGTGATTTATTATTTTTTATATTAAAATATTTAAAAATTTATGTATATTTTTTAGATATTTGAGTATGCTTATAATTTTTTAATATAAATTATAAAATTGCATATAATTACTGGTCATGCGGTTGAACCAGTGGCCCACTGGTTGAACCAGTGACCCAGTACCTTGACCGAGTCAATGACCGGGCCGGTTTTAATAACATTGAAATTAGGACTGGCTGAGTGTGATGCATTATTTATCCTTCAAATTAGGGGTGCAAATAAGCTAGGCTATGGCTTAAATAGGATAGGCCTATGTAAAAAATATTAGGTATGGTATGACCGGTTAGCCTGTGTAGGTATCAAATTACAAATCTGACCTGACTTATATTTAAAAAATAAAAGCTTTGGCCTAAGTATGTTAACCTGTTTAAGCCTATTAAACATTCAACAATTAAAATAATAACTAAAAAAATATTACTTTATTTTTCAAAATTATTAAAATAATAATTTTATTTATTTTATTTAAAATAAATAAAATGATATAGGCCGACCTGTAGGCTTATAAGCCCGACATATACAAAAAAAGCCCATGACCTATTTTCTCAATAGATTTTTTTAAAAGGGTATGCCTGTTTTATTTTATTATTTATAATAGGCCAAACCTGAATATAGGCTAGGTCGTAGGTTCTTATAGATTGACCTAGTCTATTTACACCCCAACTTCAAATCGAATTAAACCTCATTTGAGGGAGATATGTTAGGAAAATATAAAACCATGTATAATCACCTAACACCTTAATCTTTTTAGTTGAAGTAATTCTTTTCAAGTATGTAAGCAATGAAATAGATAAGCTGGTTTTGACTGAGCACGGCTAGATTCATATTGGAGCAATTTTTTTTATATATATATTTTTTAAGGATATATTTCTCACGTTACATAAAATAAATGTAATTACACGGGATAAATTATACTTATCTTATATAATGCATAATAAGATAGGTGGAACTCACTAACTAGAAGAGAAAAAAAAAATGAACTCATTTTATTTTTTTATATATTGTATAAAATAATTTATTTCATACGAAACAAATTTTTTTTTTATTATTCTTATATCTCGAACTTAAGAATATTAAAATTGCTTGTCATTTAAATCAATAATTATTGATAGATATCTGTACTTGTTTCAGCTTTTATTATAAGGTTGCTGTTGGGGCACGAATCATAAATAAAATAATAAAAGAAAAGAAAAGTGATTGAACGATTCACAGTGATTTATTCAGTGGTTGGGATTTGGAGTTGCGAGTAAGAGTAACGCCGTATCAGAGACAATGATGTGGCCTTCGTTGGGCTGGTCCCAAATGCCCCAAATCCTACAGCAGGCCACATTAGATCAATTACGGGTTACGTGTATCGACATTATTGGTCCACGCGTATCATATCTGTTTGGAATGGCCTTCTCTGCCCACAACCTGTGTGGGAAGCACATGGTATTGGTGTGCCTTTGGTGGAGGATGTCACAACCGCATGTGCCAAGCACGCACCCTCTCACTTGATTATTTTTTTTCACCTTCGGTTGTCCCATAATCATATTTCAACATGACCAAACCTGATTACGGTTGTTGCAATTAATACAATTTGAATTTGAGCCCGTGAATGCGTCATGTCCCCCAATTTCAGGTTACAAACTAACAATGTTGTGTGTCCCAATTGAAAAAGAGTAATCCTCAGTCACCCCTCACAAGGGACCATTACTCAACAATACCAATCATTTTATTATGCTTATTGCTAGGTTTAGCAATTGTTGGTTTATTTCGTCAAAATGAGAAAGTTCCCATAGGAGAATTCAAACGGTGAATAATAACAAAATATAGAAGACAAACAGGAAGCTGGGGCATCCAATGCAGCTAAGTTACGTCAGTTGAATGATTAGTTAAAAGTTAAAACTAACATACATCTCTAGGCCAGTTTCAAAGAAAAAAATAGAAAGTGCTTCAGGGTCAAGGAATGATGCCCCGAGGAGCAGGTACAGTTTAAAAGTTAAATGTGCTAATGTGAGAAAGAAGGAAGAGGCATGCGTAAATAGCAATCCGCTGGCAGAAAAAAGAAGTGCGAAAGAGCTGGTTTGAATCTTGACTTTAGACATGAAGCTTCATCGTAGTAAGTATAGACTAAACTGTAGTGTTTTTTGCGGGTGCGGCTCGAGAGATAGAAAAGAAAAGGGAGGGAAAGGTTACAGAATGTGGATGTCCACTGTGTCCCACTTTTACAGTTAAAGCCAATTGGGACCGGGGTCTAAGGACCGATGATTACGGTGACTAAAGGGGTGAGTTAGGGACCCACCCCACACGTTGGATTCTCAATCCCTTTTGTGTCGTTTTACTCTAAACTAGCCTCAGCTGTGAAGCATTTGTCTTCTGTTTCATCATTCACTGGGATTTGTTACTTTGCAATTTGCATTCCCATCCAACCTCGTCCTCTCTCCTAACTTACAAGTCACTAACCCATTTAATAATCAATAAAATCTTTAGTGGCCCCACCACTCTTCCTCTGATTACACCCGCTCATCACGCCTTAAACAGTCCACCCTCTAAATCTTTGGTCGTTTTAACTTTTTAACCTTTGCCATTTTCTTTTTTTAACTTCTTTTGTGTACTCTACTCTCTTTTTTTTTTTTTTTTTTTGCAAAAGTGTGTACTCTACTCTATAGTCTCACTTTATTTTACTAATAATCTATGCTCCACGACACTGTCACTATACAAAGGAGCCTACCCCTTTTCCCGTTTATAACCCTCGCCTTTGCTTTCTGATGTCACATAACTTCATCATGATGTCAAATAGATTCCAGGGGCGCTTTTGTCCATCGGCTTTGAAGTTTCCCTAAAGATTTGGTTCACTTATTTGTCCTTTTCATATTATCTGTTCTGCTTTTATTTTTATAATTTTTATGTTTTTCCTTACATTTATATTTCCTATTTAACAATCACATAATAAGTATATATTCGAGGAACATGCAGTTTCGCGAAATTGTTTTTTTAAGGACAGTGGGCGAGAAACAGGAAAAATAAGCGAAAAATTCCTAAAAGAAATAAAGGAAATTAGAACAGGTTTTTCTTAATACTCGCTTGTTAAGAGCGTAATTAGTAATCTCCAAGAAATCTAGGGAAAGTGAGGCACTGTGCGTGGTGGATCCCACATGCAATCCGGTATGTCTGAATACAATTGGAAAAAGTGGTCTATACGCGTTCAAGGATAAAGTAGCTACTAGCTAGGTATCGATACAAAAAAATTATATATATATATATATTTGTATTTTTTTTGGCATGAAAATAATATATTTTTTTGGTTTTTTTTATAAATCACATATAATTTTTAAGACTTTATTAATCTCATGCAATAGGAGAGAACTCTCTCCTGCACTAGAAATAATCATGTATGAGACCCATTTATTATAGAAAAAGAAAAGAAAAATTAAAAAATAACACAAAAAATCAATGTACGTGTAACATAAAAATATATTTTCCCTAATTTTTATGGGTAATAAATTCTGTTGGTGCCAAAAGTATTTACATTATCATAGAATTAGCTCAACCAAATTTCTTTTTCGCAATGACAAAAACTTAATCCGAGATATTACTTAAACGAAATCAAATATATTCTACTCTGAACCAACTTTATTTAGTAATATTTATTTTTGTTTTAAATTGCACAAAGGTCGTATTTAATAATGATAGAAAAGTTTGAAAATTCCAAAAATTGCCCCTGCAGTGCAAGCTGTCACTAGCGCTTCCCCTACTCCATAAATAAGTAGTCCACTTTCTCTCCTACCCAATCACCTCTCATCCCACCTTCCTCTATTCAGACTCTGAGGTGTTTGTTAATTTTCTTATTCCTTGTGTCAAGTGAAAGAAAAAAAAAAGGAAAGAAGGAATGGCCGCCATAGCCAATGTGCTCTGCTTTTCGTTCATTATATCATTAACTTGGATGGTTGAAGCTCGAATCCCAGGGGTTTACTCTGGGGGTTCTTGGCAAACTGCTCATGCTACCTTTTACGGAGGAGCTGATGCTTCCGGCACCATGGGTCTGTAACTCCCCATCTTTGTTATTCTTAAAATGTAGCATATAAAAATAAATAAAAAACTCTCTTTTTACCTGCATTTTAAGGTAAAGAGAAAATTACTTTGTGTTGTGTTGGTGAAATGTGATTTGTTTGTTGAGTTGGTGTTTCAGGGGGAGCGTGTGGGTACGGAAACCTGTACAGCCAAGGGTACGGTGTGAACACAGCGGCATTGAGCACAGCACTTTTCAACAATGGCTTAAGCTGCGGTGCGTGTTTTGAGATCAAGTGCGCAAACGACGGGGAATGGTGTCACTCTGGGAGTCCATCCATCTTTATCACCGCAACTAACTTCTGTCCTCCTAACTATGCTCTTCCAAACGACAATGGTGGATGGTGCAACCCTCCACGCCCACACTTCGACCTTGCCATGCCTATGTTCCTCAAAATTGCCGAGTACCGTGCCGGCATCGTCCCTGTCGCCTATCGACGGTGAGCCTTTTTCTTCTTCGGTCATTTCACTTTGTTTATTTAACTTTTTGCTTTGGTAAACGATTCAGAACACTGTTGTTGTAGTACTAGGTACGAAAATGTGTAGGAGTCTTGACTCGTCACAGTGAAAGAAAAAGAAAGAGAAACTGCTATTTTGACCCTAACTATTCCCTAAATAGTTCATTTAGATATGGTTACTTGAGTCAATGCGTTTGTGATTTGATTATGTAACATTCTGCACTCTACAGTAATGATGGGGTAGGGTTCTTTATAGCTTTTGTCAGAAAATTTGGGTTTTTTATTTTATTTCTGAAACCTTCGTTCTGATTAGGACGATCACGTGATGAGGATGGCTGTTCGTTAAGCTTGAGGATGTTCTTTTTTTATGTTTTTTTTTTTTTTTATAATTTGGATTTAGTTTTTAGTCACTTTAATATATCTTATGTATCGTATGAAGCATATGAAAAGTCAAAAGTGGTGACCACATTGGTTGGTATTTACGCAGGTTGCCATGCAGAAAGCAGGGTGGGATACGGTTCACAATAAACGGTTTCCGTTTCTTCAACTTGGTTCTGATCAGCAACGTCGCGGGTGCAGGGGATATCGTGCGCACGTACGTGAAGGGCTCTCGGACCGAGTGGATGCCGTTGAGCCGAAACTGGGGTCAGAACTGGCAGTCGAACGCTGTTTTGGTGGGCCAGGCCCTGTCCTTCCGTGTCACGGCCAGCGACCGCCGCACCTCCACCTCTTGGAACATTGCTCCGGCCAGTTGGCAATTCGGTCAAACTTTCACCGGGAAGAATTTTCGGGTCTAATCATCGTCAACGACAACATCCTTAAATACTTTTTATTATTAAAGAAAAACTCGATTTTTAGGTTTCCCGCCAATTAAAATTTTTTCTAGATGGTGTTTTTTTTGACTGGGTTGTTGGCGACATTGTGAGAGAGGAAGTGACAACTTAATTGTGACTATGTTGTTGGTTTTTCTTTCTGATTGGTGGGTTTTGATGTATTATGGCGGTACGTGTGTGCGATAGCACTTTAAATTTGTATGGTAGACTAGTGGGTGTAACTGTAAGGGAAAGGGAAAGGGAAAAGGGATATGGGATGAGACGAATTCTAGGGAATGCTGAAGTGGCTAATCAAAATGGTGGCCCGCAGCTAACTTGTATTTTTATAGAATGGTGTTATATATGTATTACAATTTGCTCTGTGTTTTTAAGGAAGTGTACTGTGGTTAACTTGCGTAGTTTAAGTTAAAGGGTGTTTAAAACTGAAACAATTTAATCGCAATAAAATAAATGAGCCGAAAAATTATAATATTAAAATTAATTAAACTAAGGGAGAATAGCCTTCTGCTCTATGACTCATCTTTTTTTTTTACAATTTTTTTTTTATTTCTTTAAATTAGTATATGGTGGGACTTACTAGAAAACTGTGTGTGTTGCAAAAAAATTTCTTCCCGTCAAAGGAGAAGAACAAAGCCCATAAACTAATTATAAGTCAATCTGATTCGCTAACATCTATATGTCTGTGTCGTTTAACTTTTTTTTTTTTTTGGTAGAGAATAGAGATTTAACTACTTAACTGTATGCATTTGTTATCTTCTCTTCATTTTTTATTTTTTTTTGCCTTTTCTTCAGAGGGGTCAAGTTGTTCACAGCTACAAATTATTATCAATGACCAAGATAACAATCACAGCTAACTTCTTGAGAAATAATAGATGAAATGCTTTAATTGAAGCAGGTAGGCTTAAATTCAAGTGGTCTTACTCTTACCTGACTAGGAGGGAAATGGAACCAATTGGCCTTGGTGACTTTTAAGTTTAGATAAAATTATTTTTAACACATAAAAATACGTAAAATTCAAATTTTTTTTTTTTTTGGTCTCTTTTTTTTTTACGTGACCTCGAATGAAGCTTCTTAAAATGAACCCAGAGTGAAAAAATTTCAGTTGGTGGTCAACTTTATGGACATGAGTTTGAATGAAAGAAAAACATGTGTTCCACTGCCTACTGGTAATGATTAGGACAATTGTTACCTACTCATGTACGCTTCGGGCGTAACTTACTCAATTTTTCACCATTTATGATTACGCATAGTTAATAAGAAAAAAGAGAAAGAATAAAGCAGAGAAGACATTTGGATGAAAAGACAAGGTCGGTCTAAAATGAAATATTTATTACACTTCCTTCAGCTAAAACCAATCGATTATTTTCTCATTCCGCGAGGCCAACGAATATGTCACATCATAGCATTTGCACTTGTAAATCAAAGATGCACATGGGTAGGGTTTACTATTATTAATGCTATCCAGCAGCCACGTAGGCCAAGACGAGAGAGAACTAGTGAGTTGTGTTGCTCTCCAACTACTGCCATCCACCTCATTACTTTGTTCAAAGCATGGATTGAGCAAATAACTTCGGATACCTACCTACCCTCGGAAAAGTAAAAATAAAGTCAAGGCTTTGGATGCCGATCGCTGAACTTGGGTGTTTGGTTGAAAAGAAATTTTTTGAATATTGTAAAAATGTAATTATTAGAAAAATAGTTGAAAAGTGAGTTTAGTAGAAAAATATATAAAAAGTTGTTTGGTTGACCAAAATATTACCAGAAAAATTTATTTAAATTTGCAAAATCTATGTTCGGGAGAAACTTTGTACCTGTTTTTTTCACTTTTCAATTTATCTCAAAATAACGCATCTCAAGTGATATTCTGTAACAGTAAATCTCATCCAAAAATCAACACAAAATTCATTTCCCCGTCTATCCTATTTGCCTAGTATTTTTTTCAAAAATCTGAATCAAACGTTATATTTTTCAATATCCACTTACACTTTCCTATCAATCCTAAAATAAATCTTCTACCAAACACTAAACACTAGAATGGGGAATGTAACGATTTCCTTGTTATTTCTATTTTATGAGAGGGGAAAAAATATAACTCCTGTAAGATATGATAAATTTATTTTCCGTAAGTCCAAACTTATATTATTTTAAGAATTTGAAAAAAAAAATAAAGAATATTTTAAAAAATTTATTTTCCTTTTATATTATGTAATTTTACTAAAATATTTTTTTATTTTTTTTCTCAAACCCCTAAAATATCTTATATGAAAAACATTAATCTCTTTGTGATAACACAAAAAATAATGATATTTTTTTAGGACTCAAGTTTAACAAATTTTCCGCATACTTCTGTATATGTAAATCTTCTAATATCTCTTTGATTTTACGGTAGCATTTTGTTAAATGAAACCTTAAAGTCTCTTTATATACGAAGTATTTTTGCAATGAAGCAATTAGATATGCGGACTAGTCTCTTTTAGGTTGAACTCAAATGCGAATTAACTCGCAATAGGTTAAGTATAAGCCAACAGGTAAAATTGCTGGTCTAATTTGATCTTATACATATATACTACAAGTTATTTGGATTGATTCTTGGACAAGAATTTTTTTTATTTGTTTATATAATTAGAGTTTAAAATATTAAATTCAAATAATTTATTTATTTTAAAAAATTCAAAAACCAATCACTTCTTAAAATAGGCTAATACTTATTTTAAAATAACATGTAAGCAATCTTAAAAAATAATTATAGTATAATTAGTTTGGAAAAATCGAATTTACAGTTACTGAAGATTACTATCTGCAGGGTATGACACAAAATTAGGATAGGTCCTACCTTGATATATTATTTTTTGTGGGACCGCATCATTTCTCTATCAGTAGATGGTAATAGTAATAAGCGGTAATTGTAGATTCGATTTCCCAAATTAGTTTACCCACACATTTCATCAAATTATTTGGATCAATTTATTATACTCCCATTTTGAAACTTCTAAAAAAGATGTTTGATTCGTTTTCAGTTTGTTTTTATTTTAAGATTTTGTGAAAGACATCATAAAAAAATAATAAAATTATATTTATTTTATAAAATATTTTAAAAAAGGAATAAAATAAAAATAATATGTCATCTTATAATTATTATTTTAAAAAATTATAAACTAAAAATAAAGACATAACATATTAAACAACCTCTGTATGTCATTAACAGTACTCTATAACCCAAAAGCGTGCGAAAGAGACAATTGACATGGGCAATAGGCCCTGTGATTGCCAACTCTGCCTTCCATATTCTCTCCTCAAGTATGCTTACATGTTACCCTTTTATTACAATGGACATCACCATTATGCTCCTGCATTTGCCTATTCATGACAATTTTATAGGTCTTTAACTATGGGTTTAACTTTTCTTATGTTGTAGGATTGTAGGAGAGAAAAGAAGTATAGAGAAGTTAAATGTGGGTCCCATATTTTATATTAAAAAAGAAAAGAAAAATTATTTGACACGGAAAATGAATTTGTGTAGGAAAATGATAGTATCTCATGTGACATAAGCATATTATTCCCCTTTAACTATTTCCTTTTTCTTGAATATCAAGAAGTAATTATTATAGGGAGATTCTCTATCTCTCATGTTCCTGCGGTCAAAGGGGAATTAATTTCCCGACTGTTTCAAAATCAGCAAACCTATGTGAATATCTCGGCTTTTTGACCTTAGTAGGTTGATTTTCATAAATTTTTACCGGAATAATTTCTTGATCAAAAGTATTACCTATATAATGCATAACGACGCGGTACCATGGGAATCACGTTAGGACGTGACACTTTAGCAACCGCGTTCTTTGCATTTGTTCCTGACGACTGGAATATGATACCCTGACAATCACGTCCTATTCCCAAGACTACTGGAACGTGATACCCTGGCAATCACGTCCTATTCCCAAGACGCGGTACACTCTCAGCCGCGTGTCAGTGCGTCCCATCCAAAAAAAAATTCAATAAAAAGCGGTAGTGTATATGCCGCGTTCCAAGTTACAAGTCAAGTCGGAGTCAAGCACATATATATGTTTCACCTAAAATGTAGGCATATTGATATATTCATTGTAAAAGAGTTCATAAAATCCAATAAATCAAATAGTACCCAATCTTATACCCCTGTTTTGTGTTTGGTCTGCTTTCCCGATTTCCAATATGTGAAAGAAACAATTTAATCCAAAATTTTAACGTGATGAGTGAGAGTTTTTTTAATGATTTATATTAAGGTAAACAAAAAAAAATAGAATCTATGCAAAATTCATACTTCAAGCCCAAAGGGCTTTCGTATGAGTGAGTGTGTAAGTGAATAACTTGTTGCTTTTGTTGGATTTTTGGAACTCTTTTACCGTGAATATATCAATATGTCTAAATTTTAGGTGAAATAAATATATATGCTTGAGGCTGACTTGACTTGTAACCTGGAACGCGACTTATACACTACCGCTTCCTGTTGAATTCTTTTTGGGATTGGACGCACTGACACGCGGCTGAGAGTGTACCGCGTCTTGGGAATAGGACGTGATTGCCAAGGTATCACGTTCCAGTAGTCTTGGGAATAGGACGTGATTGCCAGGGTATCACGTTTCAGTCGTCAGGAACAAATGCAAAGGACGCGGTTGCTAAAGTGTCACGTCCTAACGTGATTCCCATGGTACCACGTCGTTATGCATTATATAGGTAATACTTTTGATCAAGAAATTATTCCGGTAAAACCTTATCAAAATCAACCTACTAAGGTCAAAAAGCCGAATATCTCATAGACATACCTTACCTATATTATATGAATATATTGGAAAAATATGTATTATTTTAATTGAGAGAAATAGATAGATAAAGAAGAAGAGAAAGTGAATAAAAAAATATAGAAGTGTGGATCCTACCTCTTTATGAGAGTAAAATGACATAAATTATATTATTTCCGATATTATATATATGGGTTTAAATTCTCTCTGGTGCCAAATTTTATTTTAACTCTTCTACTGACACTTTGAATTCTGTGTTTGCATTTTTTTTTTTTACAAATAATGGACCCCATCGTTTTTTTTATCAGTAGGAAAATGAAAAGTCTCTCCTGCAAAAGGAGACATAAAACTCTTTCTATATATATATGGGAAAACATTTTCTCATGTCGTAGGAGAGTTGTTTCTCCTACTAGTGACCCTTTCGATTTTCGTGCAATATTTTTTTATGCTTT